ATAGGTTAAAAATTTTCGACCTAGAAAGTCTCAGTCTAAGACGTACTCTTTACGATTTAACCTTGATTTATAAAATTATCAATCATTTTACTTCAATCAATCCTAAAACATTAATAACATTTTCCTCCAGAACTAAAAGAAATAAACACAAACAACAAATACAAATTTTAAGGAAAACATCTAAAACTGAAAATTGGATTATAAATAGGTGTACAAATACTTGGAATTCTCTCCCAGAAAACATAATTAACTCGAAAACTCCAAAACAATTTTGGATATTACTTAAAAATCACTTATTAAAAGCCAAGGAAATAAATAATACATTTATATACTACTAAAAAAATTGTCTTAATTTCCTCATACATACATATATATTAAATGGGTTATATTCACTGCATGTAAGTGGCACATATATATTTTTTACTGAATTTGTGCCCTTTGATTTTACGTGAATAAATAAATAAATAAAAAAAAAATAAAGAAAAAAGAAGTAAGAAATTATTTTATAAGATATTTTAAAAATTAAAAAAAACAATTGGGCAGAGGTTGGCGTCTCCTCGAAAATCTCTGGTTATCCTGAACCGCCAATCTCAAATCAAACTCCTCATTTGTAAATACATCCATAAAGTTTATTTATTCTTTTTAAATAACCTCTTTTTAACAAACACCCTATTCAAAATTAAAAGAGGTTAATCCTATATAGGGTTTATCTATAAAAGAAATTCTCAGCTCTGGAAAAATAAAATAAAAAAATACTAAATATAAATTCAAATTACGATTTAAATTTCAACAATTAACTACCCCCCTCCCCTTTATTTAATTATTTTATTTTTAAATTAATTCTTTTTTAGAAAGTGTCTAAAAAACAAAAACAATAAAAAACATGAAAATACACAAGATAATCTTTATTTGCTAAAATAATCTACAAAAATTCCCCCAAATAAATTTTCAAGTTTTCTCCCTAAAGGAAAATAAAAAACAAAAATTAGCTATCGGCATAATTTTTAATTGCACTTCTAGCGTTTTTATTTTTGCCTAGAAAAAATTAAGGATATAGTGTAGTGTACCGGTGGTAAAAGTTCGGGATGTGACATATGTCATTCGATTCGTCTCGACGAGCTGAGTCGAACGGTACCATTCACTACTTTAGGAAATGATTCTGGACCGAGTTATAGGTCCCTGAAAATCGAAAAACCCAAGGGGGAGTAAGCTCGATTTTGGGGTGAAAAATTCGAATATGCAAATAATAGCTCATTCGAAAGAGCTCGTCGAGCTGAGTCGAATGACACCAAAATCAGCTTGATTAAACAAGTTGGAGTCGAGATATAGGGCTCGAAATGGTCAAAAACCATAGTGCGGATTTTAGGGTCAAAAATTCGAAAAAGCATATAATAGCTCATTCGAAAGAGCTCGTCGAGCTGAGTTGAATGACATCAAAATCAGCTTGATTGTAAAAGTTTGGACAAAGTTACAATAGAAAAACAAACAACATAAACCTATGGGGCGTCGGCGAGGCGCTTGTGCAAAACTCCGCGCTTCGCGCGGAGTTTTGCGGCACGCGCCTCGCGGGGAGTCTACGGGCGCTGGGTCTTGGCTCGTAACATAACCCTATTCCTATCTCCCTTGCTCTGGATGTACTTGGGGCCCGGTAGCAGCAAAAACCTCTACAGAGGCGATAGGTAAGGAGCTAAAACAAACGGTCATAACTTTATCAAATAAAGTCAGATTTCGTTGATTTTGGTGTCATTCGACTCAGCTCGGCGAGCTCTTTCGAATGAGCTATTATTTGCATATTCGAATTTTTCACCCCAAAATCGAGCTTACTCCCCCCTTGGGTTTTTCGATTTTCAGGGACCTATAACTCGGTCCAGAATCATTTCCTAAAGTAGTGAATGGTACCGTTCGACTCAGCTCGTCGAGACGAATCGAATGACATATGTCACATCCCGAACTTTTACCACCGGTACACTACACTACAGCCAAAATTAAGAAAATCTGTTTGGATGCATATAGACTTTAAATAATTTAAAGCCGCGCGACTTTTCTTTTCTATTTTCCCCTAAGGGAATCCGAAAAATAAAAATTCTTTTCTTAAATAAAATATCATTTATTTAGCCATTTTGGCCAACAAAAATTCTTTTCTCGCCTTTTTAAAAATTTTAAGCTAAATGAGCGCGAAAAATAGAAGAAAAAAGAATTTTTAGAAAGCTAATTGAGTTGTTTATAGAGAAGAAAAAGAAGAATAAAAATTATTTAAATTTAGTGTGTTGCTTTTTCGAAATAAAAATTAAAAAAATTTTTTTTAAATTTGCATAAGAATTGGTTAACTGATTAAATAAAAATTGAAGAAAATTAAATTTTGTTTTTGTATAAAGAGTAGAAAAAATTTAAACTATTAATTAATTAACTCGAAAGAGAATTTAGAATTTAATTTAAAAATAAAATTCTGAATTAATTTAAATTTTTTTGTTTTTGTTAAAAAAAAGATTGAAATATTAAAGGAAATTACCGTATTGTTCGACCTAATTATTGTTCGACCTATCTCTAGAGAGGGTAATTGATACAGAAGTTATTTTAGGCAGGCTAATTATAACTATTTTTTGGGGAGTAATTATGTATGTTTCAACCTTTCGCTGGAGGTGGTAACTAATAGAGGTGGGGTAATTATTTGAGGGAGGGTAATTAATAGAGTATATACGGTATTTTTGTCATTTCACATTTTATTTCCCCAACTTTAATTGGGGACGAGATCTAGAACAAAATTCTGTTATTGAGATTCGTAGATAGGTGCATACATACATCCACAATCCTCCACAACTAACCATATTCTGCGAATTTCATCTTTTTGAAGAATTATTCCCACAAGCTTAATTCTGAACATTTGGATTGTTCAGAATAGAAGATTTCTGTGATTAGGGATTTCATAACATTAGGAAAATATATATTTATATACATATAACATAAAAAAAATATTGTCAAATATTTTACAAATTTATTCGAAAATCAAATTTACATACAAAACAAATTTACAACAAATCTAATAGAATATATTATGAGACATATGTACATATTACACACAAGGAAATTTAGGAAATATACAACATATAAATGAATGCAAGATAACAAAAAAGGAAAATATGAGTTTAGATATCATATTCAGTTCATTTTTATCTCTTTAGAATTCTTCCCCCTCTGTGGCAGGTTCCTCCTCGGCCGTCTCCACCGGTTCTTCAGTGCGCGTCCCACCATCCCGACTCGGTGTTGCAACCAGTTTCTTTCCCGTATCATCAACTGGCAATGGCTCGGACTCAACGTTGGGCACATGATATACTGAAATTTAAAGAATTACCCAATGACTCCTTTTCACTTATTCGAGTACCTCTCTTCGGCTTCCCTGGTTCTTCCTCTTCAATAGGCTCGAACTTAGACCGACGCCTCCAGAAGCCCCTCTGGCGCTTAAGTATGGCAAGCACATCATCGGCTGGAGTCGAGATCATCTTCAGTGGTGTGACATCCCGTTCGAGCTTGAGTACCACATTTTTCTTTTCAATGATACTCTGTCGAATAGCCTGTAAAATAAAAAAATTTAAAATTGTTTACAAAATTACTTGTAAAAATAACACCTTTTTAGCTGCAGAGACGTCGTTATTCACTTCCCTGCCGTTAACGTCAACCAACATGTCGCCTGGAAAGATGTTCTGCGCAGCTATACTGCCTGACTCAACGGACGCGACCATGATTTTAGCTCCCTGGAATCGAAAGCTATTATTAATGTCAAGCCTTCATTACTCAATCAATTACCTTCCTCTCCACAACTATCCCAACTGGGAGATCTTCTCGCCATCTGATCTGCATGAAGACGGAAATGCAGTTCGGCTTTCGCTGGACTTCTGCGACCTTGAGTGTGGCCATTTTGAAGTAGTCGTCCCTGCGGAAACGGATGTGCAAAGATTTGGGTTGAGCACCAGAATGCTGAGTTGCTCCCGTGAAGTCTTCTGCCGATTTTATGGCCTAAAAAATTGACGTTCAAACAGAGTATTACCCTAATAATCGCAGAAGCTTACACGTTTGTCAATCTGCACGATCCAGTCTCCAACGAACAACCATCCAAAGAAGTAGGAGAAGATGTCGATCTTCTGTATCCGCGGCGGCGAGCTCCCACTGAAGAACGTCAGTCCCATGTCCGAGTCTTGGATCTCGATGGTAGCCTCATGCTCATGAATGTACTTCTTAGCTGAAAGAGAAAAAAAAAGTTAGTTTAGGAGACAACCCTTGTATGATACATCCTCGTTTCTCGGCCATTGTACTGAGACGCCAAAGCAAGAGTGAGCAGCACAGCGACGAACCAAAAGCAGCCTTTAGTTGAATTGAGCACAGCGTTGTCGTCACGAAGTGCAGTGAGTTGTAGTGTTGGTTTATGCATCATCTATTAAGGCGCTTTTATACTAACCTAAAATCCTAACAGAAGAACATTTCTTTATAAAATTCCCTGTTTAAGCAGACCCTTGAGAGAGTTGAAAAATAAAAGCACACACCCCGTTCAAAGCATACTACGTAACAAGGAAATTTTTTTACTTTCGCTAATAAGAAAACTTTTTCTTTAGGGAATATTCCTACTACAACACCAACAAAAGTATTATACAGTCGAATCTAAGGTCGAAATGGTGAAATTTTACAACTGTTGAAAATATTTCAAAACAACGAAGGAATTGCCAAAAGGTGAATTTTAATCTTCTGAAAGTTTCAAAAATTTTGCTTCACATCCCTCACAGTCTGATCTAGTTTTAATTAAAGACAAACAGGATGGGACGAAATTGATGTCGAATCGAAATATACATTTAACAAATAACATATTATTTAGATTCAAAAAATTCGAATATTTGGTCGGTAATTTTATAATATTTTGTTCTTTCAAATTGACGAATATTTTTTCTATTAAATAATAGAAGAGTTGAAAAATTCTGATTTTTTCGTGTTTATTTTATAAAGTATAAAATTAAAAAAATATCGTTATGGAAAAATATATTTATTTATTTTGGTTTTTTAGCAATGTTTCTTTTGAGGTACTATACATAAAAAACACCCGTGTATTTCAATTCTGCGAAGTTGGACATCGTTCCATTTCCTCACTTTTATTTAGCACTTTTTCTGCTTCTCTACCAACAGTTATAGATTTAGAACGTCTCCGTTCGAGTAGTTTACTCCCTGTTAAACCTCTCGAAGGATTTTTAAGTTGAATACCACAATTGGAACAATCAGCACCTCCAACACGCATAAAAGCCAAGGCACGGTCAACCTAATATACAAAGTGTTTAATTTTAAAAGATTGGTGATCATAACAAAAAAAACAACAAAAATGATATTGAAAAACTTCAATTTGGACAGATTTGCATAGGCAAGAAAATACTTAAGGCTCTGGTATAAATTCTGAAATGGTTGGAACTTAAAGCAATGCCAGTTTAATGGAGAATCGAAAATGCTGGTCACAGAGTTGATTCCATAAAATATGAAAACTTAATTAATATTTTGGATTTTAATTTCGTTAGTTTAACCCAAAAATTTGCCGCAGTTGTGAAAATCTTCTAGGCTATTTAAAAATTAAATTGTTCCTCTTTAATCTTCCAACAAAAAACTTTTTCGGTCACCAATTTAATTAAACTCTATATTAATTGTTTAAAAGTTTTTTTTTATTTTTCACCTGTGCTGCCTGGATGCTATAAACCCGTTCACGAAGTATTGGACGAATATTATTATTGTTGTTATATTTATTTCCAATACATTTATTACAAGCATTTAATTGTCTATCTGATTTTGTAATTCTTTTTCCAACAAAAAATTGAGGAGAATTTTTTTGTTTTGTTGAAATTTTTATTTTTTCTTCCACAAAATTTTTATTTTCTTTTAAACTTTCACTTCCGCTGCTGTCCTTTTCTGGATTAGATTCAAATCCTGCATCTGAAGATAAAGAAGAATCAGAAGGGACAGGTGGAAGTTTGGAAGAGACAATTTTGTTTATTGAAGGTTGAGAAATATCCAAAGAAAGAAATTCTGACTTCATTAACTGTTTGAAAAAAAATAAATTTAGGAATCTGTTAAGATTAAAAAATTGAATAACACAAATAGTGTGGAGCTGTTACTTATAAATTAGGTATCAAAAACCAAATAACGTAGTCAACTTCAAATGGACAAAAAATAAAAACATTTTTGTTAAAAGTTTTCCACAAATGTTTCTAATAGCGTTTTAAGGGTCTTTCGTTTGAAGCTAAGAAAAACTTTGGATGATTTAAAGTGAAAGCAAATAAAGAAAGTATTTTTTAACCAAAAGAAAAGTTAAATTTGGTATTTTATAAAAATAATAAAAAAATAAAAATTACTTGTTGAATGTTAATACGTTCAGAAGGGTCTGTCCGCAACATTACTCCAATCATATGTTTCGCTAGAAAATTTTTAATTAATTAGAATTCCAAGAAAACAAACTTGAAGCAGATATTCCATCCCAATCCTCAGCAGGGAAGGTAAATACTCCCGAAGCTAGAAAAAAAAATTTAAATAAATTCAAAATTAAAATATACTTATTCTAGAACGCATTCCTGGAGAAAAAGGAAGTCCTTGCATTGAATAAAAAGGAGGATATCCACAAAGACTAAAATTAAAAAAAATGAAAAAATTTTCAAAAAAACAAACAGAATGTAAGTAGCAACACCCAACTTAAAATTTAAAAATTTAATTTAATAAAAGTTAACTAGTAAATTACCGCCCAAATATCACAACTTTTATCATATTCTTTGTAGCTCAAAATCTTTAAAAAATATCAAAAATTACACGAAATAAAAGTATTTCAAAATAGTTTAAAAGACAACAATCCCACTTATCACAAAAATTGTTTAACAAGATAAATCTGGACATAAACTTTTTTAGTTGAAACCCCCTAATCTCCACCTTCCCCCAATTCTTTAATTTATATTAATAAAACCTCAGGACAAACATATGCAGGTGTACAACAAGGAGAATTCATAGGTCTATCAGCTTCTGAGAGTTTTGCAAATCCAAAATCAGCCAATTTAAATATACATGTATTTACATTACTTGTAGAACAAAGAATATTTTCAAGTTTAATGTCTCTAGAAAATAATTTTATTTTAAAATATTAACTTTTAACGAAATGAATTTCGGAGAGGTTTGTGACTTAAATTATACCCCAACAATTTGAACGAATACAAGGAGTTCAAAAATGTTAATCTAGTCCATAGGTAAAATTTTTAAACTAAAATTTAAATTAGTCATGTTGTCTCCGTAAGTGGAATATAAATGAATAAATAATGGCTTTATTCCTGTTAGATCATGTATCATTTAAGTCATCCCTATTTTTTTGCAACTTGCAGAAAAAATATGGAGTGCAAAGTATTTGTCAAAAAAGAACAAAAGGCCCTATACAATTCAAAAAACTCCCAGATAAAAATTGTTTTAAAAATAAATATAAACAAAAACCTGTGTGCAATATTTCTTTCATGAAGAAATTGAACAGCCGAGCCAATTTGACGAATGATACGTGCAACACCTATAAAAAATAATTAATAACAAAGTTAAACTTATTCAAAAAAACATTGTTCAGGATAAGGACTTCTTCCACTTTCTTCGAAAATTGTCAACAAATCCCCTCCCTGCATAAATTCAACAACAACCAACAAACAATTTAATCCATCAAAAGTGTTTTTAAAAATATCAGCAATTGAGACAATATTTTGATGACGAGAAGCTAACCAATGAAGGGAAATTTCTCTTTGACTTCGAGCTGAATCTCTCAAAACTTTTAAAGCAAATTTTTCGCCGCTTTTCTTGTGGTAACAAGCCTAGAAATTTATGAGATAAGATTAAGGTTATAATTTGATCTTATTAGACGTTTGTAAAGAAAAATAAAAAATCTTAACAATTTTTTAATAATTCAACTTTTTGTGTTTCTGGATTTTAATCGATGAGTGAAAATAATTAACCAAAAATTTCGATAGCTTTAAATAAACTTTAGAGAAAATTTAATTTACAAAGCCGTTACATCCCCCTAAAACCCCAATTACCCCTCCCTAAACTCTCTATAATTATTTTAAAAATGACTCACCATTACTTTCCCGCTTTCACCAATTCCAATAATCTAAAATTTATTTTAAAAACAACAAAATTTAAAAAAAAACCTCATGTGATATTTTATACAAATCAGTTACTGGTTTATCACTCGTCGGGAAATCCTTCCCATTCCCTTCAATTTCAACCTCCTCCTCTTCTTTTTCTTCTTTCAACTCCAAATTTTGTCTAATAGAATTACAGACACACAAACTAGATTTTATTTTATCTTGATCATCAATCCCTCTCAACAAAGATTCATTAAATTTTCCACAGGCAGAGGGAGCCCTCGATTGGCGAACAGCCATACGGAAAGACGAAACTGGAGAACTTCCAGAGCTGTAAGGAAAACGTTGACGACGAAAAAATTCATCTTCATCTTCTTCATCCAATTCACTTAAATTTTCGTCGTCAGAAAGAGCACAAGCTGTAAGGCATATTTGCTGCTGAAAAATTTAAGAAAAAAAAATTAGTTTAAAAATCAAAAAAAATTTCTTTAGACCTGTTCTTGTATATGTTCTTGAAAATTAGAAGAATCAGAGTTGTTAATATTATTTTTGTCAGTAGTTTTTACGTTCATTTTAAAAAATATTTTATTTTTTTAATCTCTTAAAATTAAAAAAATAAAAATAAAATCTGTTATTTCACAAAATTTATTAAAAACAAAAAACCTCCCCCACAATTTATTTTTATAAAAATTTCCACCAATTCGCTTAATTTTGGAAAAACAGATTTTTGGATAAACAGGACAAAAATAGCAAAATAAAATTATTTAATAGTAAACACACAATTAATTTAAATTTATAATGATCAACACATATTTTTAATGCGTGGGAGAACTTTTAAAAAAAAGATAAAAGGACAAAACGTCCTCGGTTTCGCTTATTTTAGACAAGGAAGCATTTAAAAGGCTCTTTTTTTAAATTAACGCTTTTTGTTTTAAAAAAGAGACAACAAAAGTGACAGATTACCTTTTTTTAAATCGATAACAAAAAAGCAGCTTTTAAATAAAGGGTTTTTTTGATAAATTAACTAAAAATAGAAGAAAAAAAAAGAATATTTCTTTACAAAAAATTAAATAAAAAAGAGATATGATAGATATGAAATGTTATCCGAACGATCTTTGGTCTAAGAAAAGAAAAAACCTGATGAATCCCTTGAGGAATTCACGTGACTAAAAAAAGTAATTTCTTCAAACAATTGTCTCAAAAGTTCGCATTAAAGTGAAAATATTATGGAAAAAGAAGAGACGGCAGAGAAAAAAAGAAAAGAAAAAGAAAAATGACATTTAATCTTTTAAAATTACACAACGCCAAAATATTAAAATTTTAAAAATAAAAGGTTAAACGTCAGTTAAACTTTATTTTTGAAGGAAATGTTGGTGATTTCTTGTTCTGAAATATAGGAAAGAATATGGGGTTTTTAAGTAAAAGAAATGTTATTTTATTATTAATTTTGACTATTTATTTAATTTCTTTATTTTTAATTTATTTACAATTTCCCGAATTAAAAAGGTTTTTTTTTGAATATTTTTTAAAAATTAAAAAAAAAAATTTTTTTAAGGGAAGAACGGGAACATTTTCGTTATCCACGTAATTTAGAAGATGCAAAAAGTTTGGGAAGAATTTTACTTCGATATAAAGAAAGGCATTTTTTGGTTGTTTTGGCTGGGGTTTCTGCTGTTTATTTAATGTTTTTCTTTTTAATTTTTAAATTAAAAAAAATTTTTTTTGAAGGCTTCAATCATTTGCTATTCCCGGCTCAATTTTTCTTACAATTTTGTCTGGATATTTATTTTCGTTCCCCGTTGCTTTAGCTTTAGTTTGTTTGGTAATTTTCTTTTAACTTTAATTTTTTTAATCTCCTCTTAAAATTTTTTAAAGTGTTCAGCAGCTGGAGCGACTGTTTGTTATTTTATTTCTTATATGTTTGGGAAACGTTTGATTGTATATTATTTTCCTGCACGTCTTGCTTTATGGCAAATTGAGGTTTTTTTTTATTTAAAAATTAATTTTTTTTTGAAATTTTTAGGTTCAAAAACAGGGAGATCATTTATTAAATTATATTATTTTTTTGAGGATAACACCTATTTTGCCTAATTGGTTAATTTAAATAATTTAATAGAAATTTAATTTTTAATTTATTTTAACAGGTTTATAAATTTGGCTAGTCCTATTGTTGATGTTCCTTTAGTTCCTTTTTTCTTCGGCACATTATTAGGTTTATTTAAATTTTTTTAAATTCTTTAAAGTAGCATAAAAATTTGAAAAATTATTTTTGTTCGAGGGAATAAAAAAAATAAATAAATTAAAACATTTACGGAACATTTAATTTTTATTAAAAAAAAGTTTCCCACCAATCGGTGTCGAACCGTGCCCTTACACACACAAAGGCAAGCTCGCTAACCGTTACACCACAACCCGTTCGGTTAGGAGAATTAATTACTTCCTTAAATACTCTTTCAATCCTCTAAAATTATCAATAAATAAATTTCTTTCTTTTTTTTAAAGGTGTAGCCCCTCCAAGTTTTTTGTTTATCCAAGCGGGTACAACACTTCAAATGATGACAAATGCAAATGTTGTTTGGTCCTGGAATTCAATTTTGTTACTTTCCTTTTTTGCAATTCTTTCACTTGCTCCCGTTTTGTATAAAAGGCAAATGTTGATACGTTCAAAGGAAGAAGAAAAAAATAAATTGATAAAATCCGAGTGATTATTTTTTAGAAAAATATTTCTTTTTGTTATTTAATTTTTGAATTATTTTTTTTGGTCTCTTTTAACGTTTAATTATTATTTTAGTAAAAGAAATAGTTTGGATTTTTCTTTAAATTTGGAATTTTTCCATGGATTAAAGAAATTTTGAATGTTGTGACTTATAGTGGGTTTTTTTTGGCTGGACCGATTTCGACAAATGAGGTATCATTCGAAAGAGCTTCGAAAACTGAGTCGAACTAGATATGGGGGAAGTTGGTCCGACAATCAGGGACCGAGTTACAGACCCCCGAAGTTTGAAAAAGAGAAGGGGGGAGTAAGCACATTTTGGGGTGAAAAATTCAAAAATGCAAATAATAGCTCATTCGACTCCTCTCGATGAGTTGAGTCGAATGACACCAAAATCAGCTTGATATCTTGATTTTGAGTCAAGATAAACAGGTTCAAAATGGTCAACATAAACCTATGGGGCGTAGGCGAGGCGCTTGTGCAAAACCCCGCGCTTCGCGCGGGGTTTTGCGGCACGCGCCTCGCGGGGAGTCTACGGGCGCTGGGTCTGGGTCAGTAACATAAACCTATTCCTATCTTCCTTGTTCTGGACGTACTTGGGGCCTCCGTAGCAGCAAAAACCTCCACATTGACCATAGGTAAGGAGCTAAAACAAACGATCATAACTTTGTCCAATCAAGTCGGATTTCGGTGATTTTGGTGTCATTCGACTCAGCTCATCGAGAGGAGTCGAATGAGCTATTATTTGCATTTTCGAATTTTTCAACCCAATTTGAGCTTACTCCCCCCTTCTCTTTTTCAAACTTCAGGGGTCTGTAACTCGGCCCCTGATTGTCGGACCGACTTCCCCCATATATAGTTCGACTCAGTTTTCGAAGCTCTTTCGAATGATACCTCATTTGTCGAAATCGGTCCAGCCAAAAAAAACCCACTATAAGTCACAATACCCGAAATTTTTATGTCAAACAATTGGAATTTTACTAATGATAAAACAATTAAGCGAAAAATCGGAAATTTGTCTTGTAAGGATGATTTCTATGACAGCGTTTGACGGATTAAAGCAATAAAAACAAAGGAACGAACATCTTCAAAGGAGCAAAACTAATTTTCGCCTTGTAGCTAAAACCCCATTCCTTTCATAAAATAAGTCCTCTAAAATCTTCAAAAAATTTTAAAGAAATTTTTATACAACAATATACATACTTTCAATAATATCAATACATACAATAGGCAGAAGGAAAATATATTTATTTACATAGGGAATAATTATTATTTATCAATACATTTTCCTATTTTATTCATCTTTATTCCCCCTCTTTTCTTTTTTCGCATCCACCATCAACATCCAAGCGCATTGAACAAACTTCTACATTGCCGCCACTCGTCTAAAAATTAATGAGAAATTTTTAAATTTACAAAAAACTTCCTTCAAAAAAGACTCACTTCGCCAACTTATCGAACGCCGGGTCGAGGTACTTGACGTACATATTCTGCGCTCCATAAGTCTGAGGCAAATACAAGTAGAGAAGGAAGAGCGCTTTGAGCGGCCAATACAGCGGAAAGTAGGGAGTGATGCGGTCGGCGAATTGATCCACAAGAGAGAAAGTTCCATAGGTAGTCCAATACACGAGCCACTGCGTGTCGTCCTCTGAATTTTAGTGAAAATATTGTTCGTTTTTGAAAGAAAGAAAAATTTTTTAACTACCTTTCCCAGCCGAACGCAAAGCAACAACTGAAGCATAGGCAGGATAGACAACTCCAATCAAGTTACAGATGAGACCAGCACCTGGAGCGGCAAGCAACCAGAGGAAAAGAAAACCGCAGATGGCATAGAAAATCTAGAAAAGAAAAGAGGATGAGAAAAACTTCAAAAAAATTTCTCTCTCACCTTTTCACGTTCAAGACCGGTATTCTTCTCAGCCGCTCCGAACAGCTTATCCTGGCCATCGAGCCATTTCTGCAACGCCGGACGAATATCGCTGAAACTTTGAACCTCAACTTGCCGAAGACCAATAGCAGCACCACTTGGACTGGCTGACGGCGGTGGCAGAGATCCAGCAGATTTTCCCTTCTTCTTGGTAGATGCCTCACTCGGTGCTTTCATTGACGCTGGCGGTGGAGCAGGAGGAGCAGCTGGTGGCGGCGGCGCGTCGTCCTTCTTTGGCGGCTCGGGTGGCGGCGGAGCACTCATTGTTTTGTTGTTGTTTTTGGTGTTTTGTTGTTGTTTTTGGTGTTTGGAGAGATGAAAAGGAAGGATTTTTGAAGGCTTTTATAGTTAACAACAAAAATTTAATTTGTTTGTCTCAGAAAAGGCGAGATCAAGACTTAATCTTATTTACTTTAAATTATTTTTAATTCCCTACTCTTTCCTATAAAATTAAAAAGACACGTCTATAGATTTACCAAAAAAACATTTAAATCGATAATAAAAAAATTTAAAAAAACTTGGGGATTTATCAGTTATAGGAGCATCTCGATGGATTGGAAATCGATGTGATCAAACACTAAATTGGAGTGATATTTATGATGCTCCTATAAATATAAGGTTCTACATACATGTTTAGTATATGTTTTTACATTTTTTACATACCCCTCTTTTAGATAAGTTGAAAAAACTAAGAACAAGTTCAAAACCAGTCCGTTCTAAAGTGACGAGAATCAATCACTTTTTCAGACTAGCCGAACATGCCAAACTACAATTTGAATATATGATACAAATTTAAAAAAAAAAGTTTGAAAGGGGTAAATTAAATACAAGTTTTTAAATTTAAGAGAAAGTTAGTGGTTCATTGGTGGTTCATCCACAAATAATCTCCATTCTCTAAAAATCCTTTCGGTTTGCGTTTTCCATCTGGTTTTGTAGATTTAGGTTTTTTATCCAATGCTATTTCAGTATCGTCTTTCTTTTCTCCAAGTTTTTTAATTTCTTTGGTTGTCTCTCCAACAAGGACACCACCACCGGCTAATATAGGACCAACGACACTCAATCCAATCCTTGCAGCATTTCCGGGAGCACGTTTTGAGCGAAGTAAAGCATTCTTGTTTTCAATTTCTATACCGCCAAAACCTCAAAATTTAAAAATATTTTTTTTAAAATTAAACTTTCAAATACCATTTTCAGCTTTAACAAACAATTCAAAATGAACGAACACAACAAACAAAATAATAAATATTTTGTTAGCTTTTTTGTGTTGCATAATTTTCTTTAATGAATATTTTCTCTTGAAATTATAAAAAGAATATTTTGAAGTTTTTTAGAAATTTTTTTGAAAATAATTTTAATTAAAAAAATCTTTTTAATTTAAATATTTCTTGTGTTTTATTTAACTTTTACTGTAAAACCCCCCTACTATTTTAATTATTTAAAAACATTACTCGATTAAAAATTAGAAAAAAATTTATTTATTTTATTAAAGAGCGTCGAATGAAGGCAAATGAATAAACAAGCATTGCTAGGGGCTAAATTTTTAAAATGCCACTCCTTAAATTCTTTATCAATAACACGTGCAAGTCCCTCGAGTTATTGATTCCCCCATTGATTCCCCATCTGATTAAAGGCCTTGCAATAAAAAATTTTCTCGTGCAAATTATCGATTTCCTCATAAAAAATTTGAAAAATTGTTTTTCTTTAATTTAAATTAAAAATCCGGGAGTCAAGATTTATGTTTGGATATCTTTAATTTAAGAATTTTACAGTTACTAAATGTGAAAGTGATTCACACTTAACGGTCACTGAACCGGCTATTTAATATTCTCTCTGAAACGTCTCCACCCCAATTTTTCGATTTTAAATAATTCAATAAATGTTGGAAGAATTAAATTTTTTCTGATTTTTTTTTCAGTTTTTTAGACAATTAAAATGTTTTCTCTACCACCCGAAGTTCAACTTGATATATTAAAATATCTTAATTTCAACCAATTATCTTCTGTTAGACAAACAAATATTTATTTTCGAAATTTAATTAATAAATATGAGGGGGAATTGGCACGAATGGAATTCAATAAACTCTCAATAGTAAATATTAATTTTAATTATATATATCTTTTAATTTTATTAAAGGTTAACACCAGACAAAATTTAAATCATTATAAAATAATTGATCTTCAATTTGGAATTTTTGAATTTACTTTAGATGATCAACTTGAGGAGAAGGTTAGTTAGATAAATTAATTTTTAAATAAATTAAATTTATTTTTTTAGTGGCAGACAGCGATAGACAAATCAATTCCGTTGTTTTTAAATGATTCTGGACCTGGTGGAAACTTCGTTTGTATTGAGGGTTAATTAATATTTTTTAGCGTCTAACATAAGATATTTTTTTCTATTTATTTTCAGGGTACACAACTGATTATCTTTTAAAATTGCCAACATTTCCAAAAAACATTAAAGAAATGATTATTATTCGTTGCTGGTTAGAACAACTATTTAATTGTGCTTTTGAAAATGCTTTTTTTGATGAATGTGTATTTAATCCAGAAATGATCAATATATTATTTTATAACGACAAAACAATTCCTCTTCAATTTATTACTGAACAAACAAGTCTGCGTCCTGACAACGAATCATTTGAAAATGTTTTGAAATTCTCTTTAAATTATTTACCAATTTCTGAATCTCTTAATATTAATTTAGATTATGTTGACATTACAGAAAAAGAGATAGATATTTTATTCAATATTTTAATAAACGAAGGCGCTAAACTTCTAAAAGAAATTTATTTAAAGAATTTCAAAGTAGCTAGGCTTTATGATCGTATTATAAACGTATGTTATTTAAAATACGAAATTAAAAATTTAATTTTTAGCATATAAAAACATCTAACGATTGTTCGAAAATGGTGCCTTTTATTATTTTTGATGATATTTCTGACAATTATTTAAACAAGAGAGCAGAAAAAGTCGAAATTGAAGAGCGGGAAATGGGGAGAAGATATTTAAAATACCAAATTGCCAATATTCACAATCCAAAAGTGAGATTTGCATTTTACAACAAAGAATGGATGGGAAGAATTTTTTATATTGAAATCAGAAAAATGAAAGAGTAGAATTTGAGAGGGTGAAAACGAAATTTTTATTTGATTTGTTGGACAACAAAATATTTTTTTAAATTGTTTTTCATTGACTTTGGATTAAATTGTTTTTATTTGGTCAATTCCTAAATACATATTTTCAAACATCTAATAAATCTAGTGTGTTCGCAGTTCTTTTAATCCAAATTTTAAAACCGGTTTTCGGTTTTGAATTCTAGTCAAATATCGGGTTTTGTTTTGAGAGGATCTTTTTCTAAAAATCACTCATCTTTTACAATTAAGACCCTAAGCTCGATTTTTGACATTTGTGTCGGAAAAATTCCGTCATATCACCCGGAAACCGATTCGGACAAATGATATGTCATTCGAAAGATCTCGCCGAGCTGAGTCGAACGGCACCAAAATTAGCTGGGGGACTCACCTATGGGCCGAGATATTGGTCCTCGAAAATCGAAAAACCATAGGGGGGACCAAGCACTTTTTGGGGTGAAAAATTCGATTTTTCGAGTGCTAGCTCATTCGAAAGAGCTCGACGAGCTGAGTCGAATGACACCAAAATCAGCTCGAGATCTTGATTCTGAGCCAAGATAAACAGGTTCAAAATGGTCAACATAAACCTATGGGTCGGCGGCGAGGCGCTTGTGCAAAACTCCGCGCTTCGCGCGGAGTTTTGCGGCACGCGCCTCGCGGGGAGTCTACGGTCGCTGGGTTCTGGGCTAGTAACTTAATCCTATTCCTATCATCGATGAGGTGGGCATGCCTGGCTTTCTCCGCAGCAGTAAAATTTCAACGGAGACCATAGGTACGGAGCTAAAACAAACTGACATAACTTTGTCAAATCAAGTAAGTTTTCGTTGATTTTGGTGTCATTCGACTCAGCTCGACGAGCTCTTTCGAATGAGCTATTATTTGCATATTCGAATTTTTTACCCCAAAAAAGTGCTTGGTCCCCCCTATTGTTTTTCGATTTTCTAGGACCAATATCTCGGCCCATAGGTGAGTCCCCCAGCTAATTTTGGTGCCGTTCGACTCAGCTCGGCGAGATCTTTCGAATGACATATCATTTTTCCGAATCGGTTTCCGGGTGATATGACGGAATTTTACCTTTGTGTCATTACAAAATTTATTCTTTCACCTAAAACTTTTACAAAAAATTTATTCGAAAAACATACAAAACAAATTTACAACAAATCTAATAGAATATATTATGAGACATATGTACATATTACACACAAGGAAATTTAGGAAATATACAACAACATATAAATGAATGCAAGATAACAACAAAGGAAAATATGAGTTTAGATATTATATTCAGTTCATTTTTATCTCTTTAGAATTCTTCCCCCTCTGTGGCAGATTCCTCCTCGGCCGTCTCCACCGGTTCTTCAGTGCGCGTCCCACCATCCCGACTCGGTGTTGCAACCAGTTTCTTTCCCGTATCATCAACTGGCAATGGCTCGGACTCAACGTTGGGCACATGATATACTGAAATTTAAAGAATTACCCAATGACTCCTTTTCACTTATTCGAGTACCTCTCTTCGGCTTCCCTGGTTCTTCCTCTTCAATAGGCTCGAACTTCGACCGACGCTTCCAGAAGCCCCTCTGGCGCCTAAGTATGGCAAGCACATCATCGGCTGGAGTCGAGATCATCTTCAGTGGTGTGACATCCCGTTCGAGCTTGAGTACCACATTTTTCTTTTCAATGATACTCTGTCGAATAGCCTGTAAAATAAAAGATTGAAAATTGATCAGAGAATTACTTGTAAAAATAACACCTTTTTAGCTGCAGAGACGTCGTTATTCACTTCCTTGCCGTTAACGTCAACCAACATGTCGCCTGGAAAGATGTTCTGCGCAGCTATACTGCCTGACTCAACGGACGCGACCATGATATTAGCTCCCTGGAATTGAAAGCTATTATTAATGTCAAGCCTTCATTACTCAATCAATTACCTTCCTCTCCACAACTATCCCAACTGGGAGATCTTCTCGCCATCTGATCTGCATGAAGACGGAAACGCGGTTCGGCTTTCGCGTGACTTCTGCGACCTTGAGTGTGGCCATTTTGAAGTAGTCGTCCCTGCGGAAACGGATGAGCAAAGATTTGGGTTGAGCGCCAGAATGCTGAGTTGCTCCCGTGAAGTCTTCTGCCGATTTTATGGCCTGAAAAATTGTGACGTTTAAACAGAGTACTAGCCTAATAATCGCAGAAGCTTACACGTTTGTCAATCTGCACGATCCAGTCTCCAACGAACAACCATCCAAAGAAGTAGGAGAAGATGTCGATCTTCTGTATCCGCGGCGGCGAGCTCCCACTGAAGAACGTCAGTCCCATGTCCGAGTCTTGGATCTCGATGGTAGCCTCATGCTCCCTCATGTACTTCTTAGCTGAAAGAGAAAAAAAGTTAGTTTAGAAGACAACCCTTGTATGATACATCCTCGTTTCTCGGCCATTGTACTGAGACGCCAAAGCAAGAGTGAGCAGCACAGCGACGAACCAAAAGCGGCCTTGAGTTGAATTGAGCACAGCGTTGTCGTCACGAAGTGCTGTGAGTTGTAGTGTTGGTTAATGCATAATTTATTAAGGCGCTTTTATACTAACCAAAAATTCCTAATAGAATTCCTATGTAATAGAACCTTACTTCTTTATAAAATTCCCTTCTTTATAAAATTTTCCAAATAATTCAATTAAAATATATTTTTCCTAATAAAATGCTTCTTTTAAAATTCCACTAGAAACAATTTTCCATATAAACAGGTAAATTAAAAAAAAGATTTAATTCTGCTCCAATTCACCACCATCAACAAAATCAATTTAATAAATATATTATTGAGATTTTTTGTGTCCAAATCGGGGCAGGTTTGGAAGGAATAAACAAAGCAATGGAGTAATAAAATTATATGAGAAGGCTTAAACCCTCTTTCAAAATAAATAATTACTTTTTTATTAGCCAAATATTTTCTTAAAATTAATTATAATTTACCTAAAGTTTATTGGAAGGATTGAGGCAATTTTCCTTATTTTAGGAGATTTTTTTGGAAATGAAATTAATTTGTACATATGAGCTTTTAGAAGGCTTTACTAACAAGTAGAATTATTTCCTGACTCCCTAACCTCTTTTAAAAAGGGTTCTATTGGAGGCCTTCTAGTAAAAAAGCATCAAAGCGTTTTCTAGAAAAGGGCTTCGTTATAAATAATAAAATATAATTTATAGCTAAATTAAGATGACTAATAAAATAAAAACAAAAAATATTCCAACAAAAATTAGCAACAATTTTTCTATTAATTTACCAAATACAAAAAATTTTATAAAATTTAAATTAATTTTTATTTTCCTTTCATTTAACATAAAATTAACACAAACAGCTAATTTAAATGAAGAAGAAAAAATTTTAATAGACGAAGAGCAAAGAAGGCATTCTCTAAGTTTATTAGAGCCTGATTTTGCTGAAAATATTTTTAATAGAGAAGGGTCTAAAAATCCAATAAAAAGAACAACAACAATTCCTTTGATATTTAATAGACAAGAAGGAAAAGATCTAAGTAATATTTGTATAGTTTTTTTTATTGAAAATTAAAATTTGGACTTTTGCCTCCCGGGTTTTTAATATTTAAATTCGACTTTTTCAAGTCCTGTAATTAACTGAGTTTCTATTTTTTGAAGAATTTTTTGAATTTTATTTTCTTGTGTTCACCTTTTAATTCTCCATAAATAAATTCTCAAGACAAGGAAAACAACCGGTTAACCGAACGGGGACCGAAAACCGGCAATAAACGAAAACCTGGGGTACCACCGGTTAATATAAGTAACCAACACTAATACAAACAATGATTAAAAACTCTCGTTTCTTTTTTACATACTTTAATAAGGTAGAATCTGATTGTTTCCTTATTTTCTCTCAAAAATTAATTTTTAACAGAAAAATCAAAAGAATCAACAACAACAACAAAAAAGTCCCCACCAAAAAAGAGACAAATAAAACATCGTTTCGCTCGCTCTCCACCAACAGAATATGATGAATTAAATCAAGACTTTTTAAGTGAATACGATGCTTTAAATTTAGATTTTAATTTGGATGAAGAAACAAAAATAAATGAAAAAGAAAATGGAAAATTAGAAGTTTTGAATAGAGAATTTATTTGGCAAAATGGGGAAGATGAACAACAAATTGTACAAGAATTTCCTCCAAAAGAATGGTGGGATGGGGAAGAAATTGGTGATGATTTTGGGGAGAAGGAAAATGGAACGGAAAATAAAGTTGGGAAATAATTTAGTTAAACAAATTGGCGAAAATTAACTACCGTAAAACCTGTACTAATTAACCTCCCTAAAATAATTACCCCGTCTGTATTAAATACCCCATCAAGCGAGAGTTTCAAATAATAACTACTCTCCCTCGAATAATTACCCCCAGTTTTTCCTAAACTAAATTAGAAAAATATTAAAAGTTCGTTATAAGTTTTAATAATTTTAAGGATCAATATAAAAAATAAATTGAGATGAAAAGGATTTGAGGAATACATCGAGAGATTTGTGTGAATTATGAAGTATATAGAGGGATTAAGAGGTTTCGGGGAGAGGATTATTAGGGATTAAGAAGTTTGAAGGGAGATATTAAGGCATTTCCACGATATAAACCTTAATTAAATTGTTGACTAAATATTTATTTGGCCAAACATTTAATTGAAAAATCAAATATCAAATGAGCATTATTTTATTCTTCCACCTGCCATTAAAGTATTCCTTTTTTACCACAAACCGCTTTACTCCAACTACTTTACTTTAATCGAAGAATGCTCTCTATTAGAACTTAAACTTTAAAAAGTTTTCCTTGTAAAATAAAAATTATTCTTTTTTATCAAAAGCGTCGTCACCACCGAAGTACTCCCCCCAAAAAATATCCAAAACCAATTGACGGCTCTATAAGCATTAACAACGAGGATTATCAACGCCAAGCAGATGAACAACCTTTAGAAGCTATTGATAGAGATAAATTATTAATTATTCCAAAATTAATTCCAAGTAGAGCAACACTTCCCCCAACTATAATAACAACAACAACAGCAAAAATTAAAATACCTCTAAAAATTGGTGATTCTAAAATGTAATTTATTTATTTAAATTTAATAAAAATAAAATTGATCAGTTTAAACGGATATTTTATCCTTAAGAAACCCTTGGAAATTCTTTCATTTTTTAAAAGACCAATTACATAAGTATTTAATTAATTTATTCTTAGAATTTTTCGGCTCTAAGGGCGAACACTATAGTAAAGCAGCTGGGCTATAGCTATTTCTCTCCTTTAGCTAGTGCAAAAGGTTATTCGGCGGCTGGGAGAGAACCAGCATCTTCAGTAGACCGGACTGATGTGTTAGCCATTACACCACGCCGCCTACTGCTCAGCCTAGGAAATGAATAGCTATATGCTTTACACCTCCATCCCCAGGGAAGACTGTCCCTAGTCTTCTTATCTGCCCTCTTCCCGCTTTTTCTCTCACCTGCGGGGTAAACTAAATCATCGCCTTCTCTGGCGGAATTTCCTTTCTCTAACCCAGGGCCTATGGGATGGATCGTCATACGTTCAGCGTTCGCTGAACCATCCGGTGCTACCAGTAAAGCAGCTGGGCTATAGCTATTTCTCTCCTTTAGCTAGAGCAAAAGGTTATTCGGCGGCTGGGAGAGAACCAGCATCTTCAGTAGACCGGACTGATGTGTTAGCCATTACACCACGCCGCCTACTGTTCAGCCTAGGAAATGAATAGCTATATGCTTTACACTATAACGAGCCGATTTTAATAGCCGTTCTCGAGTCGAGACGACGTCGAGTCCTTTTTCGAGCTAAACGGCCTCGGGTCGTTCGATTTTTCGAGATTTGGGTCGAGCGTGCCGGCAACCCTAGTAATAAGATACGAATTAAAGTGTTGTATTGCATCAGTAAATCCTTTAAAAAAATTACTAGGAAAAATTATTTGACTTAATGACTGTCTATATATTTTTTTTAAATAAAATTTTAAAAATAAATTTATCAAAAAAACTCCTTTCTCAGTCGAAACTCCCCATCATCACCACCACCTCCCTTTGCCAAAAAACTTCCCAAAACCCCAATAGAACAACAACATAAACAACCTAAACAAAAAGAAGAATTTCAAAAAGATTTGCCTAATTTATTAATTTCTTCTTCATTAAAAACAAACAATTTATTAGAAAATAAAAAAGAAGAAAACATTAAATATTTAATTAAATCCCAACAAACATCAAACAAAACAAAAAAATTAAAAAACAAACAAAACAACAAGTTTGAACAAGTTTTGAATGTTGGGGGAATTAATGGAGAGGAAAACACAAAAACAGAACAACACAAAACATTTAATAATGTTGAAGAAAAACAACAACAAAACAATGTTTTTAGAAACAAGTACGTGTTGTTAAAGTTGAATTTTCCTTTTTTAATTAAAATAACCACTAAAAGTGTTTAAAGACGTTTAATTGAGCGCCCATATCTTTGCTAAATTTTGAGCTTTTTTTGTGAAATTTTAAACATTTATTCTCACTATAGTTAGCTAAAAAGATTAGAAATTTCAAATTTTTTGGTTCAGTATTTCGAAAGTTATGGTTGTTTTTCTGGGTCTATTACATTTATTATCCTTTCCGCCTTTCGGAATCTTTACCAAAAATTTTTTGACTCTAGCTATTTCTTTGGAAATTTTATATGCCTTCGATTAAACGGGCTTTTATAAGCCTTCGATTAAACTTTTATAAGCCTTCGATTAAACGGTGTCCCCGTCCATGTTTATCTAAAAATTAATTTTTTTATCTTTTTTTAAAGAAATAATTCCCTTCCACAACATTTACTCCCCAATGGATTTATTCATATAGCAACATTAAATTCACCTCCTCCAAAAATCGGCCAAAGCCAAATTATTTTATTAGATGGACAAAAATATTTAGTAGAAAAAACAGTTTCTCTAAGCCAATTTAATGGTAGACAACAACAAACAATAAACGAGAATAACAACAATAGAAGACCAGAATCTGAACAACTTCCCATTTTAATTTCCTTCCCTCCACCTTTATTAATTGATAAAGCTGTTGGTGGTGGAGGAGTACAACAACAACTACAGGGTAGGTTGAAAATTTTTTTTTGATTTTAAATAATATTTAGAATCTTTTCGAGTGTTTTCTTTAAATCTTTTCATCTCACCAAAAAAATTAGGGGAAAGTGCTTTTTAAACATTTTTGAGGTTTCCCAGTAGGTTTGGACCGATAGAGACTTTTCGAAATACTCTATCAATCTTTAAATCTAGTTTTTAATTTAACAAAATTTGGATGTAAGGACTAACTCCTCCTATTTCCGAATATTCTCCCTCTCATCTCACAATTGTCTATTCCCAACTTAAATTTGTTTAATAAAATTATTAAAAATATAAGGGAGATTAAAGCTTTTATAAATTTTTAAAATTTTTTAAAAGATCCCAACCAACAATCAAAAACACTTCAACAACTTCAATCACCCCAACAACCCCAACAATTAAATAACAAAAACAATTTCCCAAACAATCTAAAAATAAATTCTTTTGATCCAAAAACTTTACGTATAGCAAACAGTGCTGTTTCTTCAAATGTTTTTATCCCTATATCAGACCAACAACAACAACCATCCCCTTTCATTAAAAAAGAAAATAATAAAAGAATTTCAAATTCAAAATCCGACGTTTTAGCAACAAATTTGGGTGCAGCTTTGTCCCAAATTTTTGGAAATTTTTCGATTGACAGCAATGCTAAGCCCGCAAAGGACTTTAAACAATGGGAGAGAAATTAAAAGAAAAAATATTTTTATAAAAAATTAAACTTTCTTTTTTAGTTTGGGAGGAGGGGAATTCCAAATTTTGTTTTGTTTTTTCTGTTTTGTGGGATTTCCGATCTATGTACATACCTCCTATATCCGAGAAAATAAAATCTAAATAATTTACTATTCAGATTTTTTTAATTTCTGAATAAGCACCAGAAATTGAATTTCCTGTGAGGGCCCAATTGCTTCAATCAACCTCTCGAATTAAAAAATTTTTCTAAAGTCTTTCAACATTTTTCGCCTTCGTTTTTTTATTATAATAATTATTATAATTTTTTATTATAATATTTTCGGTTAAATTTTTAAATAAAGTAATTGATTAAATGTTAATCTTTGGTTCGTTCGTCTTTTTTTAATTCTTTATTTGTAATTTTTACATAAAATAAAACCATTTTTGTAATAAAATTTATACATTTTTATTTATTTATTACAATTTTTAAACTGTTTAGTTTTGACAGAAAAAATATTTTCACATACTTAAGAAGCGAAAAAACTTTTCTTTCCAAAAAATCAAACAAACAAAAATTTAAAAATAATTTTCTTGATCACTCAACATTTACTACGTCTCCCTCCCCGTCTATATTTTTGCAAAAAAAAATTTTTGAATGAACAAAAATCAGTCATTAACTAGTTGGAGATTATTTGGAAACTTTTTAATCTTCTTTTTTTTCTCCTCCCATTTTTTCTTTAAATTTAACCCTCATATTTAAAAAAAATTATTTTCATTAATTTTTTTTCATTTATTTTAAATTTTTTATTTTTTATAATTTTTTTAATTAAAAAAATCTAAAAATTATTTATTTTTTTAGATAATTTTAGAATATTTAAATTTTTCAAAATTTAATTTGGCTATAATGGATAACGTAAATTTAATTAAATTTTGTCTCTTATAAAATTATTTTCTATAAATTTCAGGTCAAAAAAGTAGATAATATTATTCCAACCAAAGCTGGTGGAGTGACTTTTAAATTTTTAAAAATAATTTTATTTTTTATTTTTTAGTAGTTGAAACTTGTTCCAATATTGTGGAACGTGAGCCTACATGTAGTGTCCTCTAAAGGGATTTCTTTGATGGTTAGAATTGGGATTTTTTTTATGTTTTTGGTAAAAGAAATAAAAAGAAAAAATAAAAAATAAATGGAGAAAATTTAAAATTATTTAATTATGTATTTTGATTTATAAATTTAGTTTTTTTAAATAAAAGAAAATCCTTTTTGTTTTATAAACTTGAAAAAGAGGTGCTCACTTTTAGAATTTCTAAATACATTTATTAAAATAAATATTAAGGAATAACTAAACATATGAAATCTTTTCTTTTCGCCTTCTAAAATTCTCAAATTCTTCCCTTGCGGGGATTTAGGCGAATATTTGGGAAGTAAGGGGATTTGAAAGGAGATCCCTCGACATCTCCCAATTCTAAGTCAGTCGATCTCTCCTTTACATCCTCTTAGTCCCTCTCAATCACCAATATTCTACACTCTTTCCGTAAGCTTTTTTGACAAATTATTTGAGAAAATTTGATATCCAACAAAAGGAAGGAAGCTTTGTTTTTCTTTTATTTATTTTTAATTACCAAGCAGGTTACTTAATTTCCAACCAAAATACGTATGTATAAAAAATAAACAATTTAATAAACAATTTTATTTAAAAAAACTACCAAATGAATTTAATAAAAATTAAATAAATATAGCTAATTACTAAAATGTTAAATATAAGTGATTGCCGTGAATAAAAAAATAAAACAAAATATTTTAAAAAACACCGAGATAACAAAATACAGTCGACTCTCTCATTTATAGATTTTAAATTTACCGGTCACTGTTAGCGATACTTCCAATTTAACCCTTTCATTAAAAATACGATTTTTCAGTCCTAGGAAGTTTAAAAACGAGGTTCGACTGTATTAAACGGTAATAGTTTGGAATTCGCCCCCCCCCTATTTTTCCTTACTATTTTCCCCTAGTTTTTTCTCATTTTATGGCAAATTATATATCATTCGAAAGAGCTCTTCGAGCCAGGGGTGGGCGCAAGAGACAATCTCAAAAAACGCAAGACGCAAAACGCAACGCAAGGCCAAAATTTAACGCAAATAACGCAAGACGCAAAACGCAAAACGCAAGAACGCAAAATTGGAGAAAAAAAAATTTAAATTAAGTAATAGCCATTTTTCAGTCAAAAATTGAAGTATTACTATAAGTGAGCTAGTCCTACTCGATTTTGAGATATGCACATGTAAGTTGGATGGGTAATGATTTGGAGAGATATCGGAGATACAAGGGATTATGAAGGATAACAGAGGATTTAGCGGGATCAAAGGGGTTTAACAAGTAGCGTGAGATTACGGAGATTATCATGTAATTTGGAGGGATCAAGGAGGTTTGGGAGATAGCGGAGTTGGGAGATAGCGGAGGGGGATAGCGGAGGTTTGGGAGATAGCGGAGGAGATAGCGGAGGCGGAGGAGATAGCGGAGGATAAATAGCTATAAGTATTATGAATTGATACCGGGGATATGAGGAGGTTTGGAGGTGATTTTAATGTCTCTTAATTTCTTAATCTCTAGATATCTTCATCATATCCTCTTAGTCATCGATGACTATTTAATTCACACAATCCATTAATATTTTCTTGAAATTGATATATTCCCAGATTTCACAACAAATCCCCGATATCTTTTAAAATCCACCATAATCCCAGTAATTCGACCAATATTCTTCTATCCCTTCAGATCAACTGATCTTTCCCTTAGCTCTACGTGATCTTTCTTCATTTTTCAGCGCCGCAGGCGAAAATTTTGAGAATTCTGGAAGGCCGGAAGCCAGATTTCTTCCTTTTTTAGCGCCGCAGGCGAAAATTTTAAGAATTTTGGAAGCCATAAGCAAGATTTTTTACTTTTTCCTGCGCCGCAGGCGAAAATTTTGTGAATTTTGGAAGGTCAAGGAGATAAATCTCTTCCATTTTTGTCCACAGCTTGGTTGTATTTTTGCGTTAATTTCATCGAAAAAAACGCAAAACGCAAAACGCAAAAAAAGGCCAAAATTTAACGCAAATAACGCAAAACGCAAAACGCAATGCGCCCACCCCTGCTTCGAGCTGAGTCGAATAACATTAAAATTAACAAAAACTGACTTAAGTGAGCAAAGTTATGACCGTTTATCTTTATCCACTTTCATTGGCACAAAAAGTTTTCCCAAAAAGGATTTAGCTTCATAATTTTTGTAAGAATAATCAAATCTAGCCGATCTTGCTATCATTCGACTCAGCTCGAAGAGCTCTTTCGAATGATATATAAAAAATTACATATTAAACAAAAGAAAGCTCAAAATGGTCAGGGAAAAGAAAAAACGGGGCGAATTCCAAACTATTACCTATTAAACATTTAGAATCCTTTTGAGACTATCCTTTATCAGAAAATAAATATTGGAGTATTTTAGGATGAAGGGGGATTTTAGTGAGGAATGGTTATGGAAAGAAAAAGGTGAGTGATGAAGATTCTTAATACCTTTTCGAAGAAAAAATTAATTTAAAAGCATTTCAAGATTTATTTAACGTCTAAAGAATAATTGCTGATTTACTCGTTCCTTTAGTTTTGGCCTTGGTCGAGTGGAAGTGCCAGATTTGTTGCTTTTCAATTCATCTAGGAAACGCTTAGTCAAATCCTGAAAATTTTTAGAAATGCCCACTAGAATAAAGCATTTAAAAAAGGTAAACTCGCCTCATTCATAGGCCCACAGGCAAAATTGCCTTCCACATAAATCAAAGAATAAGGCATACAACAAGAAGGTTTGGGATATGGACATACTCCAATATTGCATGGTTCAGTTACTTTGTATTCTCCACTTAACGGAATAAAATGTTTCTAAAAATTTTTTAAAGTTTCCAACTCACAGACAGGGGCACCCTTTCCCGTCTTTGTAAGAAAGACATTCACGAGTTCTTTGAATCAACCCACAAGCCCCACATTCTGCCGTACACAACCCAGTCTCTTTCCATTCACTCCATTGACCAGGATCAGAACTGCAGTCATTCGGCCTGTTCTCTTCTAGAAAGATTTTTAAGGTTAAAAAAGTCTAATCTCTCTCTACCTTCCCCATCACCTTCAGTACTTGGAGGTGTGATGGGTGCTGGAGTTGTAGTATTTAGAATTTCTGGAATTGCAGGCATAGGTGGAGGGATGGGTATTGGGGGAGGAGGAGTAGTAGACTGTGTTTTTGTTGGCAAACGTGATTCTGTTGTTGTTTGAATCTGTTCTTCTTCTTCTGGTATTTTAGACTTTTCTTCTTCTTTTTCCTCTTGTTTAGAGGATGTAGGTGGTCCTGAATCAGTTTTATCATTTTCTTCTTGATCTGTCAACTTCGAACCATTTTCGTCTTCTTTAGCAACGTCATCGCCCTTTTTATTTTCAGGAGGTTGAAGTTCGTCTAACCCTTTTGTTTTGTCTCTGTGAGTGCTTAAAAATATTTATTTAAAAATTTCAATTAATTAACATACTCTTCATCCCCCGATTTAGTTGTTGCTTCTTCATCTTTATTCTGCTTTTTACCCCCTTTCTTATTATTTAATTGTTCATCCTCATTTTCCTCCTCTTCCAATTTATTTGGATTTTTTCTTCCTCCATTATCAGGTCCCAATCCATTTTCATCATTTTCTTCCAAAGGATTTTCTTCTTCAGTTTTTAAATTATTTTTAGCCTCCTTTTCGTTCACCTCATTTTCATCCTTCTCTTCTTCCTTTTCATCAACTTCTGGAGGTTCTGAAAAATAAAATTAATTAACTGAAGTTTATAAAATTAAAGTCTCTCTCCTTCTCCTATTTTTAATTATCTTCCTTTTTTAAAAATTTATTTATTTTATTATCTTTACTTTTATCATTTTTATTCTCTTCCATTTCATCATCCCCAACTTCATTTATTCTCCCCAAATTATTTTTATTTTTTTCAATTCCTCCCTCCTCTTCCAAATCATCCCCTATTTCATTGATAACTTTATTTTTCCCTTTTTTACCATTAATCTTCGATCTTCCCTTTTCTTCCTCTTCCAAATCATCTCCAATTTCATCATCATTATTTTTATTCATATTACTTTCTCTATTAGTTTCCTCACTCTCTTCTTCAACTAAATCATCACCAATTTCCCCATAACCTTTTCTTTTCATTCCTTCCTCTTTTTTTACTCCATCTTCACCTAAATCATCGCCAACTTCATTAATGTCACTTCTTTTCTCTTTCCCTTCCTTCTCTATATCATTCTCATCCAAATCATCACCCACCTCCCCAACATTATTTCTCTTCATTTCCTCATTCTTCTTTACCTCATCTTCTTCCAAATCATCGCCAACCTCATCAATATTGTTTCTCTTTTGTTCCCCTTCCTTATTCAATTCATCTTCCTCCAAATCATCACCTACCTCTCCAATATTATTTCTCTCCTTTTCTTCCTCCTTCTTTACTTCATTCTCATCTAAATCATCACCAACCTCATAAATATCACTTCTTTTCTCTTTCCCTTCCTTATTCAATTCAACTTCTTCCAAATCATCACCCACCTCTCCAACATTATTTCTCGTCTTTTTACTTTCTTCCTCCTCCAAATCATCTCCAATCCCGAAATTGTAATTCCTCTTTTCCTCATTTTTGTTTCCTTCATCTTCCTCCAAATCATCCCCAACCTCACTAATAATTTTACTATTCGTTCGTTTATTATTCTCTGATTTTTCATCCTCTTCAACCAAATCATCTCCTACTTCCATTATACTCTTCCTCTTATCTTCTTTTTTATTTTCTTTATCCTCCTCCTCTAAGTCGTCACCAATTTCCACAAAAGAATTTCGTTTCTGATTCTTTTCTTCGTCATTTCTTTCTTCTTCCAAATCGTCTCCAATTTCTCCAATAGTTTCCTTCCCTTTCTCTTTTTTGTTCTCTTTCTCCTCCTCTAGATCATCGCCAATTTCATCAATTCTATCATTATTTTTTTGATTTTCCTCCAAATCATCCCCAACCTCTCCAATACGCCCATCCTTACCTTCTCCTTTCTCTGCCTTATTTTCTTCCTTCTCTTCCAGGTCATCACCAATCTCATCAACTCTATTTTTACTTACTTCATCTCTTCCTTTTCGTTCCTCCTCTTCCAAATCCTCCCCTATTTCGTCAATTTTTCGTTTCTTCTCCTTTTCCTTCCCCTTTTCATTTTCACCTTCTACCTCATCCTCATCATCTCCAACCTCGTCCAGTTTTTTGGTTGATTTTCCATCACTTCCATCTTTCTCTTTCTCCTCTTCTTCATCATCCCCTACCTCGTCATTTCCTTCCTTCCCTTTTGAAAGAGCTACAACAGATTTTTCACCTCCCCTTTCATTTTTATCATCAATTCCCTCTCTCTTCGATCCTTTAGTCTCCTCGGTTTCATATCCAGCTTCATTATCTTCTCCTTCTCTATTATTCTCATTTGAATTGTTGATACTTTTGTTCAAAGCAAATTCATTTTCCGGATACATTTCTCCATTTCCCCAATTATCCTCTCCGATATTGTTTTCATTATTTAATTTATTAAATTCACTATTTCCAATAAATGGCTCTTCTGGGTAATCTAATTGCTCTTTAAGTTTTGAATTTTATACAGAGAATTTATATATTTCGGAAAAAAATTACATAAACATATTTCCTTCCCCTTATCACTAAATATCTAATTACTTTCCGGAAAGTTTTTAAATTATTTCTTTGTATTTTCCGGAAGGTTCCCGGAACAATTGTTTTTCTCTTCCCAAAACTTTTTATAATTACAAACAAACCGGCTACCCTACAAAACATATTTTTTTAAAACATCAAACGCTCAAAACATCTAGACGGCTAAAGAGGCTCAAAATATATTCGCTCAAAACATCAAACACTTAAAATATATTTACGGTTAAAAACGCTCAAAATATCAAAAAATATTTTTTAATTAAAAGGGACAGTTGAGTGCCCTATTTCCTCCTTTTATCAGGGGTGAATAATGTAGTACTTCAGGACCAATTTTTCATGAGTTCGACGTGCTGAGTCGACTGACACCAAAATCAGCTCGAATGGATGATTTTTGACAAAGTTATGACCAGCAGAATCTTCGCTGGAAAAACTGTTTTTGTGCTGCTACGGAGGGTAGGCCGGGCATGGTCTTCGCTACACGATGGCCGTGCTTCGCTGCGGTCGTGCTCGCTTCGCTCGCGGCGACCGTAGCGAAGCGGCGGCCGTCGTTCCGCTCGACATGCCCGGCTTCCTCCGCAGCGGCAAAAACTTTTTTCCGCGGACTCAACTGTCCCTTTTAATTAAAAAAATATATTTTGATATTTTGAGCCTTTTTAGTGTCTAGATATTTTGAGCGTTTGATGTTTTGAGCGAATATATTATGAGCATTTTTACCCGTCTAGATGTTTTGAGCGTTTATACCCGTCTAGATGTTTTGAGCGTTTTTACCCGTCTAGATATTTTAAGTGTTTGATGTTTTGAGCGGGCACGAACAAACCTATTCCTTCTTCCTCATTATTATCATCATATTCCTCTTCTTTCCCTTCTTCTTTTTTGTTTGTCCAATTATTATCTTCTTTTTCATCTTTTCCATTATCTTCATCTTCAACATTTTCACTATTTTTACCATAATCTTTTATATTTTCTTCTTCCTCCAATTCATTTTCCGGAAATATATTGTTGTTAATCTCTTTTCTCTTTGTCTTTTCCGGAAATTGTCTGTTTTCCGGTTTTCTTAGCCAATCAGCACTATTTCGCATATTACCCGATCTGGCAAGATGTTCAAGTGTTTTCTGTATATTTTTGGGGGTAGGTTCATCACTAATACTTTTATCATTCGAATAATCTTTTAAATCTTCTTCTGAGGGATAATCTTTGTTATTAATGTGTCGATAATGATTTTCGGGATAATCCTCAAAGTTTTGCCACCCAAGAGAAACTTTAAAATAAATCGACAATTTAAATTTAAAATAAATTGAAGTCCAACCTTGGAGTAACATAATAAAGAAAATGTGATGAAAGAAACAATTTGATAGAGGTAACATAGTAATTTTAAATTTAATAACAAAACATTTTAAATTAATTATACTTTAAATGGGCTAGAAGTTAATGAAGCTCTCTCGTCTAAACAAACACAAACTTTTTTTTTATTTAATTTAAATATTTAAAGTAATAAAAGTCTATTTATTGATTTGATAAAATAAATGTCGATTTTATATATTAATTTCCATTAATGGCCAAAAATGGAAAGAAAAAGAGAGAAGGGAATAAAGCCTGTGTTTGCGCATCGGGCGTGTAGCTATTGACAGCCGGAATGAAGCGGCAAATAAAATCAGGGAGGAGAGATATTGAGTGCTTCGATTTCAAAATAATCCCTTCGTTGTTTTGAAATATTTTCAACCTGATTACCAGAATTGGAAAAATTCCGTCATATCACCCGGAAACCGATTCGGACAAATGATATGTCATTCGAAAGATCTCGCCGAGCTGAGTCGAACGGCACCAAAATTAGCTGGGGGACTCACCTATGGGCCGAGATATTGGTCCTCGAAAATCGAAAAACCATAGGGGGGACCAAGCACTTTTTGGGGTGAAAAATTCGATTTTTCGAGTGCTAGCTCATTCGAAAGAGCTCGACGAGCTGAGTCGAATGACACCAAAATCAGCTCGAGATCTTGATTCTGAGCCAAGATAAACAGGTTCAAAATGGTCAACATAAACCTATGGGTCGGCGGCGAGGCGCTTGTGCAAAACTCCGCGCTTCGCGCGGAGTTTTGCGGCACGCGCCTCGCGGGGAGTCTACGGTCGCTGGGTTCTGGGCTAGTAACTTAATCCTATTCCTATCATCGATGAGGTGGGCATGCCTGGCTTTCTCCGCAGCAGTAAAATTTCAACGGAGACCATAGGTACGGAGCTAAAACAAACTGACATAACTTTGTCAAATCAAGTAAGTTTTCGTTGATTTTGGTGTCATTCGACTCAGCTCGACGAGCTCTTTCGAATGAGCTATTATTTGCATATTCGAATTTTTTACCCCAAAAAAGTGCTTGGTCCCCCCTATTGTTTTTCGATTTTCTAGGACCAATATCTCGGCCCATAGGTGAGTCCCCCAGCTAATTTTGGTGCCGTTCGACTCAGCTCGGCGAGATCTTTCGAATGACATATCATTTTTCCGAATCGGTTTCCGGGTGATATGACGGAATTTTACCCCAGAATTACCATCGATTACCATTTACGAGTTTCTTATAGAGCCAAATCTGTCTTAAAAGTCGTAATTGTTAGAAAAACTGCGTTTATACCGGAGATGTCAAGGGTTGAGAAAAAAACACTCAAAATTTTCTTTGTCTTGGGTAGCAAAAGAAGTCCGGGTTAGTATAAAAGCGCCTTAATAGTTTATGCATAAACCAACACTACAACTCACTGCACTTCGTGACGACAACGCTGTGCTCAATTTAACTAAAGGCCGCTTTTGGTTCGTCGCTGTGCTGCTCACTCTTGCTTTGGCGTCTCAGTACAATGGCCGAGAAACGAGGATGTATCATACAAGGGTTGTTTTCTAAACGAACTTTTTTTCTTTTTCAGCTAAGAAGTACATTCATGAGCATGAGGCTACCATCGAGATCCAAGACTCGGACATGGGACTGACGTTCTTCATTGGGAGCTCGCCGCCGCGGATACAGAAGATCGACATCTTCTCCTACTTCTTTGGATGGTTGTTCGTTGGAGACTGGATCGTGCAGATTGACAAACGTGTAAGCTTCTGCGATTATTAGGGTAATACTCTGTTTAAACGTCACAATTTTTCAGGCCATAAAATCGGCAGAAGACTTCACGGGAGCAACTCAGCATTCTGGCGCTCAACCCAAATCTTTGCTCATCCGTTTCCGCAGGGACGACTACTTCAAAATGGCCACACTCAAGGTCGCAGAAGTCACGCGAAAGCCGAACCGCGTTTCCGTCTTCATGCAGATCAGATGGCGAGAAGATCTCCCAGTTGGGATAGTTGTGGAGAGGAAGGTATTTGATTGAGTAATGAAGGCCTGACATTAATAATAGCTTTCAATTCCAGGGAGCTAATATCATGGTCGCGTCCGTTGAGTCAGGCAGTATAGCTGCGCAGAACATCTTTCCAGGCGACATGTTGATTGACGTTAACGGCAAGGAAGTGAATAACGACGTCTCTGCAGCTAAAAAGGTGTTATTTTTACAAGTAATTTTGTAAACAATTTTAAATTTTTTATTTTACAGGCTATTCGACAGAGTATCATTGAAAAGAAAAATGTGGTACTCAAGCTCGAACGGGATGTCACACCACTGAAGATGATCTCGACTCCAGCCGATGATGTGCTTGCCATACTTAGGCGCCAGAAGGGCTTCTGGAAGCGTCGGTCTAAGTTCGAGCCTATTGAAGAGGAAGAACCAGGGAAGCCGAAGAGAGGTACTCGAATAAGTGAAAAGGAGTCATTGGGTAATTCTTTAAATTTCAGTATATCATGTGCCCAACGTTGAGTCCGAGCCATTGCCAGTTGATGATACGGGAAAGAAACTGGTTGCAACACCGAGTCGGGATGGTGGGACGCGCACTGAAGAACCGGTGGAGACGGCCGAGGAGGAACCTGCCACAGAGGAGGAAGAATTCTAAAGAGATAAAAATGAACTGAATATAATATCTAAACTCATATTTTCCTTTGTTGTTATCTTGCATTCATTTATATGTTGTTGTATATTTCCTAAATTTCCTTGTGTGTAATATGTACATATGTCTCATAATATATTCTATTAGATTTGTTGTAAATTTGTTTTGTATGTAAATGTGATTTTCGAATAAATTTTTTGTAAAATATTTGGTAATCTTCAATATTTTCCTAATGATCGGTTAGAGAATGGGGAGTTTTAGGTGAAAGAATACATTTTGTTATGAATTTCCTGATCACAGAAAGACTCGGTATCGGTTCCTAAGTCGGGAAATTTCCTGGTTTTTTCGAGCTTCGGTTAAGCTCTTTTAAAGGGCTGTGTGGTGAATCTGTCGTGGATCCTCAGCGCCGCAGGCGAAAATTTTGAGAATTCTGGGAATAATTAATTGGTCTATGTAGAACATCTATCTAAAAATATAAGAAAATTCTTTAAAAAATAAATTATCATGATAGGGGCCGGATTTTCAGGTTGTAAAAACTTCAAAATAGGTAAGTGACAAAAATGGAAAGTTTACCCTTTTGGCGTCTGTGCCTTATACTGAAATTTTTACATAAATATTTTAAAATTTATTTTAAAAATTAAAAATATATCAAAAACATTTCAATTTAAAATTATATTTTTCCAGACATTAATAACATTGTTGAAGTTAAAAATGTTTGTGTTTGTGCATTTTCCATAAATCTTTCATCTTTTCTTTTAATAAAAGTTTGTTTCTCTTCATCCTCAATAATTGGATGAGGCAAATCACGAATACGCCAATTCCTGTTAGTTGCCCAAAGGCTGGAAAGTGCTCTAAAAAGGGTAACTTCTGCCCTGTATTGAGTGAAAATTGCGAGAAAGAAGGCGGTGAATAAAAGTAAAACAGAACAAAGAATTGTAATGTCCGGTTGTGAAATGGTGGCCATTCGGTTACGATTACTACAGATATTTTTAGAAAATCTTTAAAATTTTTTTGAATAGATTCACCTCACTACTGTTACCATCCTCCTACTATTAGCACTTTGAACATGCTGTCCAGCTACCCAGGCACAAATTCCCATTATTAAAATAAGTAGCAAACAAAGTCCGTTAAGTACACGGTCACGCATATCCTTAAGGGGTAATAATTTTTCTAAGTTTTTTTAATTTTTTTTCTAAATTTCCAATTGAATTACCATAAACGGAAGATGAATTCTCGTCAACTAAAAAATTAAAAAAAAATTTTTTCAAAATATTTTATTAGTCGAACCTCACTATAAGATATACCCTTTGTGAGCTAAAAGGCTTCTCTTACAATAATGTGATTTTGCATAGACGGGCTTCCAACCCGCAGCTACCTAACCACCATTATATTGGGTGTATCTTATAAAAAGAGGTCCGACAAGTATTTGGTGTACTTACATCCACAAAAGGCCTCCTTCGATATCTAAAACCACATAATTCACAATGTGGCGGTAAAGGTTTAGTATAACGTGTTGAATTAATACACGCTGCCTTTCTTGAAGATACTTCAATCCAATGTGTTAAACAATGAATGTGAACATGCCTAACAGTGCCAGAACAATGGCAAGGTGAAATTAGGGGTTTTCTTTTTGTTTCTGTTGTTAAAAGACAAATTCTGCATTGACGGGAAGAGGAGTCGGATAAAGGAGCTAAGGCATTTGGAGGGTTTTCTGATGGAAGAGGGTCTGAGACGGCGGAATTAATGATAGAAGGTGTAGAATCCTGAATGAGAAGTTGGGGATTTTTCGATAAACTAGAAATGACCTGCTCAGCAGAATTTATTATATTGCAATTGTTAGAGGAAGCAACAGAGGTAGAAGGATATAAGCAATCATTTCTGGACTCCATTTTAAAAGGAATGGACGGATATAGAAAAGAAAGAGGAATGTAGTTGTGAGAATAAATAAACTATTTATAAATGGATGGATTAAAATGAAAAGTAAAGAAATAAAAATTGATACTTTAAGACTAAAAATAAAATTAATTCTAGAATTTATTAAAAATAAAATTAATTTTTTAAACTTGAAAAAATAGGAAGTATTTATTATTCAGAAAATTAAAAAAATATATTTTTATTAATTTATTTTTTTTAATTTTAAAAGAAATGAGAAGGCAGATGGGAAAGCTTTAAAGATGAGAAGAAAAAAGAAAATCCTTCTGGCGCCAAAATGAGGCGAATTAATGTTTGTGTGTGTATTTTATAGTCAAATTAACGAAAATGGACTATTTGTTAATTTAATATATATTTTTCGTTTTACAAATCCTAGCGGGAAATTTGTGTTAATTTGCTAACAAATAAATTTATTAAATAAAGGCAAACAATTTAAAAGAAAAAAAGAAAAATTGTGTAAAAGATTGGAATAAAAATAATTTAAAAATGTCGCAAATTATTTAGAAGCATGTTTCAGATTCTGAAAAAAAGTGTAAACATGCTTCTGATTACTTTAAAATGCTTCAAATTTTAATAAATTACTTATTAATTCTTTGGAACCTTAGATTAGTAAAAGCATGCTAACATTCAGAAAATTCTTCTGAATTTTTCTAAAGCATTCTTCTATTAAAATATTCCTCTCTCAGATTTTTTTGTTTTAAAAAGATTTTGTTTTTCTCTCAGATTTTTGTTTTAAAATTTTTTTTTTCAATAAAAATAACAAAAAAAAACAATAAAAATGCTGCAAGTGAGCCGGGTCGTTTTTAGGCTCATTTTCATTGACAGCGGGCGCATTATTGACCCCTTCCCAACCTCTCCATCTATTTATTTATTTTCCTGTTGTCCGATATTTGGCTGCTCTATATTACTCATTTTCAGCACTCCCAAGGGGGGAGGAAGGGTTAAAACTCTGAAAAAAAAGAGAGAAGAGCATGTGCTTATTTTTAGGAAAGAAAAATATTTGTGTAGTTGAAAAACAACAAAAATAAATAACATGTGAGAAGAAGGAATAAAAAAATAATATTTTGTGAAAACAACAAAATTTTAAGTAAAGCGCAAGTCTGATTTTTGAGATTTTAGAAAATAAATTTTAAAAATTAACGTTGAAACCCAAAAAAAATTTAAATGTAAAAATCTGGAAGCCTTGTCCGCAAGAATTTTTTGTTTTTAAAATCTTTTAAAAAAGATGGGGTACTACTGAAGAAAAGGGTGCTTTTTCTGCGGACTTATTTTGCGGACTTTTCCTTTCCTTTACATGTTTTACTTGTAGCAACTAACTGTCAACGGCCCTCCCCCCATTATTTTTCTTACCTAAGATTGTACACAATGGTCAGATTTTCTTCTTTCTCTTTTCCTCTATTTGCCGTGTGGCATATTCAAACAAAAGACATTGATACAGAGAAGATTAATTTTATTTTTTTCATTTCTGTTTAAATGTTTTGCTTATAGCAACTAACAGTCAACGGATTATTTTTTATGCCGGTCTGAAAAATGTCGTTCACAAATAATTTAAACATTATAAACGAAAAAAATGTTACAATCAATAAAAAATTTTACTTTAACTAAATTGTATGATAAAATTAAATTACCCAATGATGAATTTCAACAATGGATCACTGATCTCGGAATGCTTCATAGAAAAAGAACATGTGATTTCAGATGAACATGTGATTCCGAGATCAGTGATCCATTGTTGAAATTCATCATTGGGTAATTTAATTTTACTGACTGACCAATGGAAGCCATATTTTAGTATTGAGAAAATGGGACGAAGATATACGCATAAAAGCGTAAATCATAGTAAAGAATATGTGAGAAAAGACAACAAAAAAATACACACCCAGAATATTGAATGCCTATGGCAAAAATTGAAAAGACGACATAAAATTGAATTTGGTATTGCTGAAACAACGTTTGAAAGTTATATGAATGAGTTTGTATGGAAACAGAAATTTGGAGGAGATGACTGTTTTTTTCATTTAATTTCACAAATAACAAATAATCAAAAATATTTGTGCGAATAAAAATTAATCCTTTGACAGTTAGTTTGCTACAAGCTAAAACATTATCTTTTAAAAAAAAGGGAAAAAGAAGGAAAGGAAAAGTCCGCAAAATAAGTCCGCAGAAAAAGCACCCTTTTCTTCAGTAGTACCAAAGATGGATATCCGAAACAAGGAAATTTTAAATAAATTTCAGCGTATTTTTTGTTTTATGAACTTAGATACCTTATACACAGTGATGCGAGGTTCCAATTCCGGAAGTGGAACCGGTAGAGGTCCGGAACCGGTTTGGAACTGGAATCGTGGAACCGGCAAAATTAAAAAAGCAGTTCCAGAACCGGAACCGGCCAAATTTTGGAATTTCCACATCACAGCTTATATGTACATACAACCTTCGAGAAAATAAAAAATTAATTTAATAAAATTTCAAAGATTTTGTGTAAAATAATAAATTTTGAGAATAAAAAAAACAAATTATTTATTTTTAAAAAATCAAAAAGTAATAAACAATTCTCCATTTCATTTGTAAACTTTTTTGTTTAAGGATAAAGGTTGCGAACGAGTACTTCATAAAATTAAATTATCTTCATCATCGACTTGCTCTGATTTTTATTGCATAAATTTTCTTGGTTTCTTCGTGCTAATTTTAAATTTTTTCTTAAATTTTTAATTTTATAAACTGAAAAATTATTTAAACTAAATACTAATAGTTCATCATTTTTAGCAATCATTTTTTCCATTTCTCTTAATTTTAAAAGAATTTCATAACGTTGTTTCATTTCCTTTCCTAATTCAGGGATTTCTTTCTAAAAAATAATTTTAAAAAATAATTTTTAAATAACCAACCAATCTTTTTTTTAAACTTTTTCCCACAAAAATATAAATAATAGAGGAAGAAGTTAAAAAATTAATGGCATATTTACTCCAAAATATTTCAAATTCTTTTTGTTTTAACTTTAAAGGTATATTATTATCATCATTCAAAACTTTAGTAGAAGTAAATTTCAAAATTGTAGAATCTGCAGCTTTAAATATATCAACAAGCAATTCTAGAGGTAATTTTTTGTTTTGATTTTTTGATTTCATTATTTTAAATAATTAAATTATAAAGTAATGCTGAAAGAATGAACGGGGTTTTTTGTGGGTATTTTATTTGCAGACTAAAAAAATTATAGTTAAATTAATAATTAAAAATGCCCTCAAAATTCAAAAAAAAATAATTAGGGTGGTCTAAAATATGCATTTGGACCGTGTACGCAAATAAGGGTCGAATCGTTTTTTCCTTCATTTTTTCTTTTCCTAAGTTTTCCTTAATTTGTATATAATGGTAAGGTTCTCCTTGCTCAGTTTAAGTTGCCCGTGGCATATTCAACTGAGAAATTTGAATAGACATACACTGCTCCACATAACTATAACCTCACCCTAAATTTTCAAATTTCTTAACTTCTACCGAATCAATCGGGCTGATTTTTATTTTATATTAATTAAAGCAGGTAACATTTCATATAAACCCGAGAAATCGAAAAAATCTTTGGTCAAAAATTTTTTATTCAATTTTTTCAAAAAACACCCTCCACATAACTATAACCTCACCTTCAGAAATCATATTAGGAATGCTCGAAAAATTCTTCAAAAATTCGTGCAAACATTTTCATTGATAATAAGTGGAAAATAAAAAAGAACGAAGTCTGTAAGTGTTTTTTTCATCGAGATCCAAAATCTCAAAAATCAACGGGAAATGGGGGGTACAGTACTTGAAAAATATTCTCACAAATGTAGACTGTAGATAAAATTTTTTATTATAGTCCACCTGAAAGCCAATAAAATTTACTACAAAACCACTAGGTCCTATCCATGACAAAAATTCTACCTTCGAGGAGTCTTGGGTTAAATGAGATGGCGAATAAATTCAGCCAAATTACCCCATAAAATGTCATTATTTCGAGTTTCTAAATTTAACTGATTGCTCCCCAGTGATAAAATTTTTCTCAATGATAGTACTAAATGTTTTTTGTAGCAAATTTTGTGGGCTTTCAGATGGACTATAATAAAAAATTTTATCTACAGTCTACATTTGTGAAAATATTTTTTAAGTACTGTACCCCCCATTTCCCGTTGATTTTTGAGATTTTGGAGCGCGCGCGCGAAGCGCGGGGTTTCCCACATTTATAACAAGTTCGTTTTCCGTGAAGTAATCCAAGCTCTACAAGCCATAAATCGAAATCTTTGTCACTCAAACACAATTTTTCATGTAGATGGGAATCTTTGAAATTTTTTAGTTTCTCCATTTTTAAAAATGTGACGCTTTTCTTTCTCAGTTCTTATATTTATACAAACAAATTTAAAAAAGGTAATCCTTTTTGACTGATTGTATGCCATGGGGAAGAAGAGTGTAATTGAGGAAAAAAGAAAAGTCTGACCATTTTTTCATAATTTGAGTAGGTAAAAAGGAGGGGGGAACGAAATTGAAAATTACCTGAACTTCTATAAAATTAAACCTCTTATATTTCACTTTCTTCAACAATTAAAAATGTCAAAAAATATCTCAGGTAGTAAATGACGTTCAAACCCCCGCCCCTTTTCTTCTCTCACAAAATGCCCTTCGAACTTTTACCTTAATTTCCTTTTCAAAAATATTTAGTTCACAGCCTTTTTTAGAAAATTAATCTTTTTGATATTTGCCCTGTAGAAAATAAGGGAAAATGAGGAACAGAATATTTAAAAATTGTATATTTGAATAAAAAATTTTTTTTTAAAATTATATTTTTAATTGAAAAAACAGAAGCAAAAATTTTGTTTTAATTTTTCTTTAACAAATTTTTATTCTTCATTTCCAATTTCTTCACAATTCCTCTTCATTCTTCTCCACCAACAGTAGAAGTATTTATTTCTTCTTCTTCTCCCTCCTCTTTATTTAA